TAAACTGTTATATCACCGATATTCCATTACCGTAATGATAAAAAACATTATTCTATATATAAAGGTGCTCTTTTGTCATTTGTGAATCAGAGCGGACATTTTAACTGATATTGAACCTCTTGAGCTAGAATCAAAGCTTCAAAAAAATATTAAAAATCAAAATCGAGAACCGATCGAGTCCTGGACGATTCTTAATTCTTGAACTGGAACCATGAGTACTTGATCTTGGAATCCACCATGACCCGATAACAAATATTAAGTTTGCAAAATCTAGTAAACAACAAGATTATGGGACCCGAGTAATAATTACCCTAATCGATTATATTCGTTGGTTTTAATAATTGACCCATATCACTACCTTCCATAACCATTCGTAACGACCCTACAAACATTATTGAAGCGTCACACACAAAGTCATAATCGGAATTAGATGATATTATGCTAGATATTGGATGTTATTTGATGACATATTTATAGTGGATTAAAAAATTATTGAAATATGTTTTTGTGGCATTTTTTTATTTATTCAAGATATTGAAAAGATAATTTGAATTATTAGTTCATGACTTTTATTTTATTTTTTAAATGTTATGGGTATAATCCATCTTGAACCCACGATTCTGGTTCGATTTCAATAATTATGTGGATTCGTATGGTTTAATTTACAAAATACCCATATGTATTAAATGATTCCGAATATTGAAACCTTCGGACAAATTCACAAACGCCCATAATTATTTGTGACAATCAAAGTTAAAGAGTTTGATGAAAGGATTTCTTCTTTATTCTCTTATTTCAAATATCCTCCTAAATCACTAATCAGTAGTTCAGTTCCTAACATTTTTTGTAGTAACTGGTCTGGTTTCGCCACATTTAGCTGCTGCACGGCCCACTGCGGGTCTTCCTTTCCTTTTTCTTGAAGTGTGCTAATTTTTATTATAAGATTGGAATGACATAAATTTAAAGTATATATTTGAAATCTCGTCCATTGATTTGGAAATATCTTTTACATTTTTTAGAATGTAAAATTTCATTTGAAATAACAATTTACAAATAAATAATAATTTTTTTTTAGATTGGTATTAATGAGGTTTTTAAAATATTTAAAGTTTCAAAAAATAATAATAATAATAATAATAATTATTATTATAGTTAAATTTCATTAGATTAAGATTTTTATATAATTATATGATTCAGGCTTCATATTGAAATCTGTATATTTCAATAGAAAATACGTAGCAGTTGGGAGTGGGGGGCTTGAGGACCATTCCAATTCCAATAAATTGTA